ACAAATAAATTAAAAAAAAAAACTTAGAAATTCGCAAATACGTAACAAAGAGAGCTTTCAGACATTCAAATGCTTTGGTAGCGGAAAATAAAAAAAACCAATTTACCGCTGCGCTGAGTTCAGATGCCGTTTAACGTCTGCGCGTGATAGTAGTGAAGTGCGCACGCGCAATTCAAATAACAACAAACACTTTTTCGCATTTAACAGTTATAGAATGCGGCCAGCCGAGTTGAATGAGTTTAATCGCCACAGTTGCTTATGATACGACGTGTGGCAACTCGAAAACAGTGCTGGTCAAAAATAAAATTCAACAAATGCTACGCATAACGCGCCAACAAAATAAAGTGAAATTTTTTGCGGAAATAAAAATCCTGTTTACATGCGAAATTTGATTTTGTGCTCTGGAGTGCGGAGTGCAAACGAGTCACAAAAAAAACATAATTTCAAAAACTTTGCCTCAATGAAAATATTGAGTGAGAAATACATACATACATAGCAATATGAGATAAAGTTCATCTATATAGTTATTTTTATGGCAACAAAGCGCACCAAAGAGTGTGCTCCGCTTTTGCTTGTGTGTTTGTCCTGTGATATTTTGTGCTTTGTGTCGGATTTTTTGCGGATCATGAATTTTGTCGGCCGACATGATCACATCGCTGGCGGCTATCGACGCGTCAATGCAGCAACCTATGGATTTCCGCTTTCTCATAATGCGAGTGAAACAAAGCCTTTCGTTAAAGAAAGTCTGTCCTGGAAATGGCATAAGGTGCGTGTGATTTAATTGACTGACAATGAGTTAAAATTTAATTATTTATATATATGAAAAAATACTTAAATTAAATAACGTATAGGTAAATTTCAAATAAAACATCAGTTTATATTATTTTACACTGTTCAACAATTTCGAAGCCTTTGTCTTGAGGCGGAATGATTTAAGCTCACTGATGAAAGACCTAGACCCATATAGTAAGACCTCGAAATCATAGTTTAGGTACACATGTATAGTAAAATTACACTAGAAATAGTTTTGTTGAACATTTTAATACATTATCTCTCTCATCAAAGGGTAGTTTTTAACCCTTTTTTTTTGGGCAGTCTGAATAAAATGATATTTGGAAGGTCACTAGAGGATGTTTAAAATGTTTTAAAAATTATTCGCCGAAAAAAATTTCATTAGGTACGTTCGCAGACAAAATCTTTATACAAGGACGTAAGAGTCACCAGAGAAAAAATTTCGAATATTCCCCTTGAAATATGCAGCAACTTTTATGTAGAAATCTCACAAAATGCCATTATATTCCGACTTTTCAAAAACGAGACAAAACGACTCTTTCGTGACAAAGCTATTGGGTTAAAATGTTCTACAAAATTATTTCCCGTCATATTTCTAGGCCTTTCATTCTGAGTTGGAATCATTCCGCAAGCCAAAATGCTGTTGCACTGACTTATTGGAAACAACGAGAAATATAATAAGGTTTATAATATAATAATATAAAAAGTAAGAGAAAATAAAATTTAAAAAAGGAAAAAAATTAAATGGGTTTCCATAAGTTAAATTTAATTAAAATATTTCTATTTTGAACAATAAAATTTAAAAAACATATAAATATATTTTTTAAAACAATGAAATATAAACGAAGTTTAAAGTAAATAAAAAAAAAATTATAAAAAAAGAAAAAAGTATAAAATAGGTTTATAAAAATTAAATGAAGAAAAAAATCTAAAAAGTTAAATAATAAATAAATTAAAAAATAAAATCAGTTCCTAAAAAATTAAATGTGTTTAAAAAAAGAAGTTATTTTCAAAGTAATATATGTAATCTAAAAATTAAAAGAAAAATAAATTAAAAAAAACGAAAAATGAAATCCGTTTCCAAAAATTAAATTAAATTTAAATATTTCTATTTAAAAAAATATCATCTAATAATTAAAAGAAAATTAAATAAAAAAATTAGTTAATGAAGAAAAGGAAGAAAAAAATGTTTCTGCAAATTAAATTAAATAAAAACAAATATATATATGGGACGCTCCATGTCAATCGGAACAGAGCTATATCAAAAATTGGCGCAATATAAAACATCGTTCAAGGGCTGAAAATGCTTGCACACTTTTGTTCTTTTAATAAATAGCAGTGTGGCGATTTGTTAAAATCGAACCTACGTACATGGCGTATGAGCAACTTTCTCATCTCATCTGAGTAACTCATACGCCATGTACGTACGTTCGAATTTAACTATTCCGTGGATTCGCGATTAAGAATTGATTGATAAGATAAGATTGAAAATCTGACACCAGATTTGAGTTCAGCAACCCTGAAAATCCCTGCATCTCAAGTTTCGAGCAAAAATGTTGAACTAAAAAAAATCGTCCTCCCTTTTGGATCCGCCATTTTGAATTTTTAAAATCCGACACCAAATCTACATATATTCAGTGAGCCTAAGATGGTTTAAAAAACCTCCCTTCATTTGATTTTTTAGGTTTTGTAATTTTTTTTTAATGATATTATTTGTCGGTTCGTGAATTTGATGAATTGCATCACTTCTACTGACGCCACCATATTTAATTTCCAAAATCGCCACACTGCTATTCAACGAGCAAAAGTGTACAAACATTTTTAGCCCTTGAACGTTTTTTGTACTGCGCCAATTTTTAGATATATGACATGGAGCGTCCCATATACATATTAAAAAAAAAAATAAGGTATACAAATTAAAAGATAATTAAATTAAAAAAAGACAAAAATAAAAATAAATTAATGAAATTTTAAAAATCCTTTGCCCGATGACTTGAACTCTCGAATAGCATGCTAGTGCATGCTCACTAGGCGATTTCGACAAGTTTTTCTGTTAAAACAGCTATTCACTATGAAAGTTGGCCAGGGGGCTTTTTTTAGTAAGACCTTCGTGCGTCTGGATTCGTCAAATTATCGGTATGATTTAGGGACGTGAATCAAGCGTCTTAGCTTGTACAGCTGGAAGTTAAGAAATTGTAGTATTTACATACATCTAACTTATCATTTAATCATATTGAAGAAATGGACTTATTTAGATTACGGAAAGCTAAATTTGTACATACCTACGTATGTAGATATCAGATACAAAAGCAAGTAATTGCAAATAACAAATACAAATATTTTTTAAATCGTTAGGCCTTGTTTACAAATGAACTAATTCAAATGCAGTTGCTACACAAAAGGTTTGCTGTTGTGTACATATAAACATATGTATATAGTATACCATTAACAAAGTACATACATTGAAATAAACAAATCTGGAATACTTGCTTCAAATTAAAAACATTTGGCATGTTAATTGCTTTACTGCACAGCAACCCGAAATGATGTGAATAAAGAAGTTTATATAGAGGGAAAAATTGTTTTTAATTAAATTTTTTTTTGTGTATATAAATAGAAATATTAGGGTTTAAGAAAGTATTAGTTTTCTGGTATCCTTTACAATGATAATAATTTTTTAAAAATTGGTTTATATTTTTTTTACAAAAATGGTTATTTTTTGCTTTTAAGTGTTTTTTTTTCAAATTTTTATATACGAAATATGCATACCCGAAGAAAGTAGGTTTAATCGCCTTTACAATGACACCAAATTTTTAAAAATCAGTTTTAAATTTTTTGTTAATGTTTTTTTGTTTTATAAAAAAAAGGTATTTTTCTTTTTAAGTGTCTTTTCTCAAATATTTATATACGAAGTATACAAATACGCATGTCAGAAGAAATAAGGTGGCATTAAAATACATTCAGCATAGTTTTCGTACTGTATAAAATAAACAAATAACCAGGACGACTAACAAAAAAAGGACAGTCTCGAAGAATACAGAAAGAATGGGCACTTTAGGCATAACACTGTAGTTCGTTGGTTTCCTTCGATTTATTTATAGTTTAATTTAGCTTAAATTAAGCTTTTTTATAACTTTTACTTTAAATTTAAGTTTTTTATATTAACTTGATTTTATTAAAGTTTATTTTTTTCTCTCTATTTCTTCATTTGGTTAGGGTTCCCGCGTTAGCACAATCAATGATTGGCTACAAATCAAAATCGGCGGCGATGAGGAGGTGAAAAAGAAAAAGGGGCGTCAACAATTGAATCGCATTAAATCAACCAAATACACAATAATAACATTCCTGCCACAAAATTTGCTCGAACAATTTCGACGAATAGCAAATTTCTATTTTCTCATTATGACTGTCATATCGCTAGTGATTGGTAAGACACACTTAAGCGTACGATTAAGTATTTTGTTTGACTGTTACTCATAAATATTGTCGAGATTATACATAAATTGCGATTAGTTTTAGAAATTTTGAAGGGTGCTAATGTGTGTGTGTATGTTTGGCTGTGTGCGCGTGTCTCTGTATGTTTATTTATGCACAGGTGCTAAAAGCTTTGATAACAAGTAATTAGCAAGTTGTCTCGCTGTTTGTGAATGAACAAAACAAAAAAAATAAAAATAAAATTAAAATGGAACAGAAATAACACGCGAGTGCATTTAAATTTTAGACTTTTTAGGGAGTTTGAAATATTTGACGTAAACAAGTATGTAAATAAATCAAAAATACAACTAGATTTCGACATTATACTTCTTTTGCTATCATAATTTGTGGGTATTTTGTAAAACTTTGCAATTTCCAACCATTAAACAATGGGTCAAATTACTACTTTTTCTGTGCAAAAAACAAAAAAAAAAAAAATGTTTTCATCGCGTAAAAGGGTTTTTAGCAGTTGCAAAATTAAGACAATACGAGTCACTAATAGGTCGTAGCTTACGTAGGATTGAAATTTCAAACCAATCGAACCGTTTTTTTTTTTACTACTGTTAATGAATCAGTTTTTGATGAAGAATATAATTCTATGTACATATATTTTCCAATATTTATTTCTTGAGATAAAGCCAAGCTAGAGAAACACGCACTTAAAAATGAGTATTTGCATGTGAAACCTGATCGTTTGGCCTAATGTGGAGATTTCTTTCATATATATAAAACTTAGTGGAAGCAAAAAATTCTGATTTTCACTACTCCAAAAGGAAACCCAAGTAAGTGAAAATATCGATTTGATTGCCTTAGGAAAATTTGCTAACGAACTAAAATTTCATGTTACAGCAATTAGCGATTTTTCGTTGCGCGTAAATGTGTCGGCAGTGATAAACTGTGCACCACCCAGCACCCTCTTTTGCATGCAAATCCATACATAAATACATACATACATACATATGTATATTGATTGCGGGACCTTGACCATCACCTTCATGCGCCACTTCGCACACAACGGTGAATGCTTGCAAACTGAACGCAACGCTTTTTCGCAGTTCAATGCAACTACTACTGGCATCAGCTCAAATTAATGTGGCACAATTAAAGTATATTATTTTTAGATTGTTTATTTATTTTTTTTGCATTTTCTCTTCATTGATTCCTCGTTTTCTACTCTTTGATTGATAGACATTCATACATACATATGTACATGCATACGAGGGGAGGCTGACAAGTTTTGAGTACGTTTAAGGTGTCATTAATGTTTTGTTTAGTAATATAAACACCGAATTTCAAGTCATTATCATAATTGCGTTTTCAAAAATGGTAGAGTCGCTGGAAGACGATCCCAGGTCGGGGCGCCTAAACACTGCCGTTCCCACTGTTTTTTGGCATTGTGAATCTATTCTGACAAAATTCGATGAGCCGGATTTTGTAGTGTTCGAGAGAAAAATTTTGCGAAAGATTACCGCAGACGATGGAACGTTGAGTTGTATGAGTTTTACAACGGTATGTACATAGCGCATCGAATTAAAATACAGGGCGCCGCTGGCTTAGCCATGTTGTTCCAATGGACATCGACGCTGGTGGTAGCAGAGGAAGAGAAGGGAGGCCCACCGCGTTGGAAAGACCAAGTGGGGAGGGATTTGGCTTTACCTGGCATTTCGAATTGGCGTCAGTTGGCACAGAAGAGAAACGATTGGCGTGCTTTATGGAACCCGGCCAAAATCGCTTAGACGGTTACAGCACCGAATAAGGGGAAGACGAAGGTATTATTTTCACTATTATGCCGCAGTGTTGACAAAACTAAGCCAAGTCACGGTTTAGATCTGGTCCCCAGCGATTACTTCCTGTTCTCCGATTTTAAGAAAAACCTTCGAGGACGAAGATTTTCGACTGAAGAAGAAATAAAGGCGGCAGTAGACAAGCATTTCGAGGAGAAGTACGGCGAATTTTTTTCATTGGACTAAAAGCCTTTTATGATAAATGTAAGCAGTGCATTGAAGTAGAGGGAACTTTTATATACAAATAAAATTTCGATTCATTTCTCTCTATTTTAATACCTTAGACTCAAAAATTTTTAGCCTCACCTCGTATGTATGTATGTATGTATGCAGTCAAATGTATGGTGACATGGGAGCGGGCACTTGGTTGATGGGTCGTGCATTTTTGGATCGCAGTACAATTAAACCCAAGCACTGACATACTAACTTCTCGTCATACGCAATGTTTAATTTGTTTATTTGAGTAGCTTGGTTTGGTTCTTTGTTTTCTCTTCTACCTTTTATAATTTTGTATTTTTTGCATCTATTTGTCTATTACATGCATACATATGTAGTATTAGGAGTTCAGTTCACTGATTGAATTTATATGGTCACACTCTTATGCGCAATCAATTAAAATTTTATTACTGTGAATTATGGTTTGCATGTTTGTTTTTGTTCGCGCTGACGATATTCTACAGATTGTTGATTATTGTGGTAGTAATTGATTAGATGCTTAGAATTCTGGACAAAAAAAAATAAATAAATGCACGTCCGTAATGAAAAGTAGAGAAACTGAGTATAAATAAATATCAGTTTGAGCATAATTTGTTGCATGATTTAATCACTTAGAGTCAGTTTTTCAATGCACAGCTGGAGTTTAAACTTAGTTTAAATGCTCGAGCTGACTGGTTTAAACTAAGATTAACCAATGAAATGTCAGCCAGCTGTTCAAAGTTTAAAATTGCACTGAAAAACTGGGGTCCCTAGGGAGGTTATCACAGCAGGGAGTTAACTCTCATTGGGCTGTTGACTCTGTACTGTTAAGGACCGGCATCACACACTGTAGAGATACCGGCCTCTAATTGACCGTCCTAAGGAGTAACTAAGATTAGAAGAAGCATCTGTACAGACTCGTCAGATTAAGAAACTATTTGTAGAAGTTACATAGGTATCTGTTGAATTGATCTCTGTCCTGTTTGCAACTCAACTAAACAAAAAGAAGAGTCTAGGGTGAATGTGTGCTCTTAGCTAAAGCTGGGTAACTGCAGAAGAAGTGCTCGACTGTTTCCATCTCTTCGTCATCTCAGAAAACGGTGCTAATTTCAATTTGGGCAGCCAGGAATTCCTGTGTAACGTTGCCCTTAGCATTACCGCTTTGATTGATTTGATGGCCACGTGGCTATTCAAGAAGAACGGCATGTGTATTAAGCTACTCACTGGGGATGTCGGAAAAGGTAAAACATAGATGCATCGAAAATATACATCGATGCACCGGAAATATCGGTCGAAAATCGAATCAAACAGTTTGATGAAAGTTTGCTGAACTTGCCTCAATTTCTTCTAAAGTTTCAAATTTTAGATTTACATGGTTTTTGTTGGAAAAAATTTACTATGAAAAACATTTTGAATATCGTAAAAATACAATGCGAAATAATTCTGTGAGTGACTGTATGTATGTATGTATGCATACTCCATTAGCGGGGAATTCCATATCTGAGATACGAGTACATATGAGAAAAGGTCAATTTAATTTACTAAACAACAACTATTATGAACAAGTTTTCTCGCTTTCTTCTTATTTTTTTAATATCTTTCACAATGCAAGCAATTAGCAAAAATTATAGAAAGGAAAATTACCTGTGAAAAATAATAAAATGCTATACTAAAATGTATGTTTGTTGCCCATTCAGTTGTACTGATTGACATCAGCAATATGGAAGTAACTATAAACTGTAAATTTACTCTACATTGCAATAATTGTATTGGCAGGTGATTAAAAGTGGATTTATAATCAGTGTGGCAGATTCGCATATACATATGTACATATCATCACCCTTATGTCAGAAGCATGAATGTGCAAATATATCAGTTTTGAGCCATGGAGTTGACTTGATTAACCTTTGGATGTTCTATGTTATACAAAAACCCAGAATACCATGCGTACACGAAAACCACATATTTTGCAATTTAAATTGCGTAAATGTCTAGTAAAAAAAAAAAACTTTCAAACTTGATTTCCCAAAATTTTAATTTTTACACATTCATGTTTCTGGCATACGGGCAACGATATGTATGTATGTATGTATGTAGAGACATATGCATAAATCATGTTTGCGGCTGTTGAACCCGCAAATGAATTTTCGGAACGGGCTTGCGAAATAATGTCTTCCGTCATACAGAATGACCAGAGGAAAGTGATAAAATTTATTTGAAAAGTTATCACCTAATTTTTTTTTGAAGATGAAATTCAAGATAAATACAAAAACTGATTTTGAAATAGCCGAAAAACAAAGATCCTTCGGAGATGTGAAGCAATGTAATTCAGAAAATTAATTATATTTAATACAATAAAATTTAATTTAATTTAATTAAATGCAATTTGGATTTAGTTTAATTTAATTTAACTTAATTTATGTAAGTTTAAATGCTTGAATTTATTTTCATTTTAATTCCAGACAGTCCCGTCTCACCGATGACATCATTGCTGCCGCTGGCCTTTGTAATTGCCGTCACAGCCGCTAAACAGGGCTATGAAGACTTCTTACGCTACAGAACCGACAACGTCGTGAATCGCTCACCAGGTGCTTATCCGCGCTGCTGTTGAAAACAAACAACAGTATAAAAATTCAGTGCGAAAATATTGTTTTATTATCTGGCACAATTAAATTTTATAATTCAAATCATAATTTGCAAAACTCATTGCGCATTTCAAACGTTTTTGTTTTTTTTTTTTTTTTTTTTTTTTCTCTGCAGTGACAGTCATACGCAATGGTGTTGCGACAGACATCCAATCGCAGCACGTTTGTCCGGGCGATTTGGTGGTGGTGGAGCGCGATTGTGATGTGCCTTGCGACTTGGTGTTGCTACGTAGCACCGATCCACATGGCAAATGTTTCATAACCACAGCCAATTTGGATGGTGAGTCCAATTTGAAGACGCTATTGGTGCCGCGCGATCTGCCGCTAGTCGAGATCAACCAGTTGCACAAATTGGGCGTCATCGAGTGCGAGAGTCCAAAGACTGATCTATATAGTTTCAATGGTAAGATAGAGCTGGCCGGCAGTGAGGGACGCGTACTGCCACTGTCCGCTGATAATGTGCTATTACGTGGCTCGCGTGTTAAGAATACCGAATGTGTGATTGGGTGTGCCGTGTACACCGGCATGACCACCAAGCTGCAGCTGAATAGCAGACTAACGCGCAATAAAAGTGCCTCTAGTGAGGTGTATGTTAATCGTTTTTTGGTTGTGGTGCTCGTCTTGATGATTGGCATAGTGTCGATGATGTACTTCTTTAAGCGGTAAGTTGACGCATAGAAGCGCGGGGTAGTGCGAATTATCGATAAATACATATATTGTTCTGTACTTGCACTTCATTATTTTATAACAGTTATGAGGAGATTTATGTAGTTCCCAATCTGGCATATTTGGGCCCTGCTGCCGATGGTTACAGCATAAAACAATTCCTACAGGATTACCTATCTTTTTTGATACTCTTCAATTATTTGATACCCATATCGTTGTATGTGACTATTGAGTTACAGCGTGGTATTGGCGGATTCTTCATGGAATGGGATCTGCAGTTGTACGATGAGGCAACCGATGAGCATTTCATAGTTAATACGTCGAATTTGAATGAGGAATTGGGTCAGATTGACATTTTGTTTTCGGATAAAACTGGCACATTAACAAAGAACGAAATGATTTTTCAACAGTGTTCGATAAATGGACGGAAATATGTTTTTAAGAAGACGCGTTTGCTAGAGGAAGAGACCGGCGCACTGATCGATATCAATAAATTCAATGTGAGTATAAACCAATTTTAAGGTAAACGCTTGCGCTGTAAGAGATCTAGGGCTGCGTCCATTTCGTTGAGAAGCTCGCACAGTTGGTAATTCATTATTCTTTGGTATACGTCGGTCACGCGAATAGGACTATAAAAAAGCCGTCTAATCTTTGTTCGTTATCGACCACGTTGCTGCGCCATAAACAAGAATTCCGCAAAGAGTTAGTTATTCCTAGAGCACCTAGGTGCATTTCTGGGTCAAAAACAAAATTTTGAAAAAATTCCGCCTAAATCTTTATTTATTATAATGACCGCACAGTCTTACCAATGTAAACTTATTTTTTTCCAGAAAGATCAGAAGAACTTCTTTCAAGCACTGACTATCTGTCACACAGTTCAAGTAGCAGGTGACTCAGATAGCAACCAAGCAAAAGAGGCTGAAACACCGGACAAAGAAGCTAATGGCCGAAGTGGGCTTGCCAAAATGTACTCAATTTCAGACATCACCGAAGAGAGTCATAATTCTAGTCAACAGAGTGGCGTCAATTTCGATAATATACAAGTGTTGGAAACATCTATAACAAATAATCCAAATGGTCAGACCCATAATAGCATCAACTCCAATGATGCTATTAGCGCCATAAATAGTAATGGCACAAATGGCTCGATTGCCGCAAACATTACCTCTGATATAAACCCGTTACTTGACGAAACCGATAAGGTGGAGAAGCGTAAGCGTCCGTTAATTGTTAAGCGTAGCCCGAATTTTACGCGTGCCACGTCGAGAATACATCCAGTTATGTCGTTACCAATACAAATGACCAATGGTACGGGCGTTGGATGTACGATTGAAATGGTGAATCGGTCAACAGCGCCCAACTTATTAGTGCCTGCTGGTTCACGACCCTCGTCATTACCTTTCACACGATCCACATCAGCTATAGATTTGCCAGATGATGGTTCCGTTGTTCCGATAGCGACGGGTCACAAACGATCGCAATCCTATGGCGCACCGGCGGCATATATTACGCAGCCAGGTGAGTTTGCTCATTGCAATTTAAACTTAACGTTTTGTTCTTGTTTAAGGCTAAGCATGTATGTGAAATCCTTTTTACATGCTTCTAGGGCAGCAAGGTGGTGTACTTTACCGTACAGCAAGCACTATGTCGCGTGAGTCCTACGCAGCGCCCAACTTCCAAAGGCAGCCCACCATTCTGATACGCGCAGAGTCACAACGACGTAAGCACGAGATTGAGCAAGTTGTGCAGTAAGTTCACCGCATATATGAATCTTATCTGATAGTCACTCTTTAAAAGCCTCTGCATCAAACTTTTTTCACAGCACACTCGACTACCAAGCGTCCAGCCCGGATGAAAAGGCACTCGTCGAGGCTTGTGCCAATCTGGGTCTCGTCTATATGGGCGATGATGATGATGTCTTACGCATAAAGGTTGTGCCACCGCACATGGATTATTCGCGTCCCTTTAGCGTTGGAAAGGTCAACGAAATGCATTTCAGCCGCCTAAATGTGCTAGAATTTACCTCGGATCGCAAGCGTATGAGCGTGATTGTCAAGGACGAAAATGGCACGAAGTGGATTTACACGAAAGGTGCTGAAAGTTATGTATTTCCGTTGTGTGCCAATACTCAGTCAGAGATTGTATCGCGTACTGACGCGCATATAAGCGATTTTGCACGTCAGGGTTTGCGTACATTGGCGGTGGCGCGCCGACGCGTTGGTGATCATGAGTACCGACAGTTTGTCGCTGGTTTGAGTGAAGCGAACAGCTCGTTGGAGAATAGAAAAGAGTTGCTCGAGCAAACATATGCAAACATTGAGTGCAGTGAGTATATAAACTTTTGCCAAAAACTGATATGTATTTATTAGCGAATTTTTAAAGCAAACAATGAATATGCTTCCAGATCTCGAGCTTCTGGGCTCTACTGCCGTTGAAGATGCTTTGCAAGATGAAGTCGCCGATACATTGATCTCTCTACAAAAAGCTGGCATTAAAATTTGGGTGCTTACCGGCGACAAGGTGGAGACGGCACTCAATATTGCGCTCTCTTGCGGTCACATACCGCCCGATGCCATTAAGTACTTCATTATCGATTGCCAATCGAAAGAGGATATGTTGGTGCATTTGAATGCGCTCGACCGGGAAATTGTCTTTGGCATTGGGGCGCCATGTGCGCTGCTGATCGATGGCAAAAGTCTCAGCATAGCGCTGAGTGAGACGCCTGAGGTCTTCCGTGATATTGCAATCAAATGTACGGCTGTGCTCTGCTGTCGTCTGAGTCCATTGCAAAAAAGTGAAGTGGTCTCACTGATTAGAACTGCAAAGGAAGGCTATACCACAGCTGCGGTGGGCGATGGTGCAAACGATGTATCAATGATTCAGGAAGCGCACGTGGGGCTCGGTATAATGGGCAAAGAAGGGCGACAGGCGGCGCGTTGTGCAGACTTTTCATTCGCAAAATTTTGTATGCTGAAGCGCCTGATATTGGTGCATGGGCATTACCATACGACGCGTTTGTGCTACCTGGTGCTTTACTTCTTCTACAAGAATATATACTTTATGGGTATCATGTTCCTATTTCAATTCTATTCACTATTCTCTTCCGGTTCGGTATATGATTCTCTATTCTTGACGCTATATAATGTGATTTATACCTCGTTGCCGATTTTATTTATATCACTTACGGAGAAGCCGTACAGCGAAGAGATGCTTATGACGTAAGTATCTCAGAGTATTTGATTCTTTAATTTTTGAGTTAAATAATTTTTCTAACCCTCCTTTTACGTTAGGCAACCCGAGCTCTACAAAAAGAATACAAACAATAAGGGTCTTCATTGGCAGTATTTCCTTGTCTGGTCATTTTTTGGCGTCTATCACACCCTGATCACCTTTTTCTTCACCGAGTATGTGTTTTCTACAAACAATGTTCTTTTGAATGTTGGGCAACCGGCAGAGTTCTCTTGCTTTGGCACGCTGCTTATGCAAATCGTTGTGGTTGTGGTCAACTTGAAATTGCTGCTGGATTCCAAGTACCTGAGCTATTGGTTCATAGTATCGATTGTGGGTTCCATACTATCGTTTGTGATAACCACTGTGATTTATAACGTAATCGATCTGTAAGTACATATGAGTTTTATTAAAGTCAAGGTGTCCTCTTCGTTATATCAAGAGATAACACTGAAAACTTTGTTTAAATCTTTCGTAATGTTTATACCGTCGCAGCAGGAATATGTTTTACCATATAAGAGGTTTTTTGTGACCGTGATCCTTCTACATAAATTCGTCGCTAGTCCGATATATTTTATAACGTTAAAAGTGAGCTGGGAGTTTTTTCTCCGCTATGAATACCCTTCAGGTTAGGTTTAGATAATTTAGGTTAAGATGGTTGTTATAGGCTTAGTTATACCTGTCCATGAGTAGTCATCACTACGGCCTGGTGCCCATAAAAGTGGGACCAAAAAATAGTCAGACGCAATTGAAAGAGAGAGGCTAGGCATACCCTACTAACTTTGAGCGCTCCCAGAGCGAGCTCGATGCCCTAACAGCGTAAGATTAGGTTAACCTCCCAGCAAAGGATCATTCTCCCGAACTTCCACCCATGCTTCCTTCCAAATACCTCCCACTCATCCCAAGTAAGGATACGAAAGATGTCCTAATCAAAAGTTATTTAAGCACCCAATGCCCCAAGCCTTACCGTTATGTTATGTTACCGATTCCAATGAAAGCGGCTGGTTACACATGCTCCCCTTCTCGGACTAACGTAGTTTTCTATAGTGAATTTCCCCTTCAAGGTACAAGGGCACAGTAAAACATTAGGGTATTAGCTATGGTTTTAAGGATCCAAGAAATCGCGCTAGGTCCCTTTTATTACCAATTAGGTCAATAAGGTCGGTTTCGGCTCCCACTTTATTTAGAGATCTGCCTCCTCGATGTCGAAAAACTTACGTATAGTGAAAGTTTTATGTATAAGGGAAATAGAATTCCATTCACAATAGTGTGTAGAGCGGTCTCGTCTGACCTACCCTTGATATATGCCTCAAGTTCAAAGAGTTTGTCGTCCAGAGTAGAAGCTTAAGCGATTCCTAGTTACTCCTTGCTCAATTTTCCGCCACGCCTGCCAAATTTCCCAAGGGTGCAGGGTTGTTTTTCTTACAGGATAGTGAAACTCCTGCCTCCTGTCCAGAATTGACTGGTTCGGTTCGTCAACGGTACAGTTGAATGAATGTTTTTGTAGCCTGAGACCAAAACTATGTAGATTGTATACTAGGGTGGTCCAAAAATGTATGGGAGAAAAGTAAAATCGGAAATTTAATGCTCTCTCCCCCTAGGATTGTTCTATACCGAAAAAAGTATACGCCTGTTTTTTTATTTTAAAATCAAAATATATTTAGAGGTCGCTCAAAGCGCTCAAAGTTTCCCATGTATTTTGTATGGGGGAAAAAATACTTTTCGTAGAAATGGCATAGAATCCATGAAAATCAAAATTTTTCAATCTGAAAACTCAGCTTCTCTTCAGAGGACTTCAGAGAATAAAGCCCAATTGTTTATTTAAACATTTTTTAATTTTAACTATTTTTTAATAATAATTTTTAACGCTTCTTTTTGTATATTTGATTTTTTTTGGGATTTTTCGGAGACCCTTAAAAAATATTTAAAATTAAAAAATGTTTAAATAAACAATTGGGTATTATTCTCTGAAGTCTTCTGAAGAGAAGCAGAGCTTTCAGATTGAAAAATTTCGATTTTCGTGGATTCTATGCCATTTCTACGAAAAGTCTTTTTTTCCCCATACAAAATACATGGGAAACTTTGAGCGCTTTGAGCGACCTCTAAATATATTTTGATTTTAAAATAAAAAAAACATAGAACAATCCTAGGGGGTGAGAGCATTAAATTTCCGGCTTTACTTTTTTTGGACCACCCTATTGTATACCCATTGCCTATGGTAGGAGTAAGTTTAGTACCGCATGTATAGGACGTGGGTTTTTCTTTTCGTTCATTCTTCTCTTGTATTTTCATTGAAAACTCGTTCTCAAAACAGATCAGTTTGTTGGGGTAATCTGTTAGTACTGTAACATCTATCGAGTGTTCTTCAAATAGGTATAAAGAAAGATGTTTTAGTAAGGCCGCTGTAGATATGAAGGTAGCCAGTCAGTAAAAATTAAGTGATTATATAATGTCGCCCAAAACTAAGACGTCTAAGACTGAAAAATTAATGTTCAATCATAGTAACTAATTTTTGCAAATTTTCTTTCTTTTTATTACAGAGACTATGATACCGATATCTATTGGGCATACAATAAGCTGCTTTGCTCTCTTCCTATATGGCTTTTTACCATACTCACAGTAATTGCATGCCTACTGCCTGATTACGTAATACGAGTTACACCGAAAGCTTTTAATTTGCCGAAACGCAGCTTTTATCCGAATGCAGGTCGTCTAAAAATGGAACGAAAAATAAATACGACACATTTATGAGTTTGGAAAAACCCTTCACAAGGCTGCTGAGTTATCGATTTAAAAAAGTTATGTACTATATTTGTTTTGTAGCGTAAGAATGGTTTGTATGTATGTTTTCATACGCATATATGTATTTACGTATACATATATACTGTATAGTAAATACAGATGTGTACTTAGTACTTAGATTTAAAAATATCCACGGCAGTTAAATGAGGATGAATGTTCAAACTTCTTCAGAACTTTGTTAACTTTCTTTAGATTTTATTACAGTCGCAGACGAAGATTTTAAAGCTTTCTATAGACTTATGAGGATGAGCCTTCAAAATTCTGCAGAGAATTTTAAGCTTTCTATAGATTTTATGAGAATAAGCTTTCAAACTTCTTCAGAGCTTTTTTAGCTTTATTTAGATTTTATCCATTCCGAACGAAGGTTTGTAAGTGTTCTATATATTTTATACATACATGAAAACTATAGAATGCCTTAAGCGCGAGAAATATTTTGGTAGTGACTGTTATATGTATCCCTCGTGAAAAGTTTTTCAAAGCTTTCTACAAGGAAAAAGCTCTCTCTGATCATTAAAAGCTCATGTTTAGAGATTTTATACCATGCCTTTAATTCCGAAAAAAACGGAAAGAGCTTAAGGGAAATCGCGACGAATGTTTTCTCCACCCTAGCATCTTACTAAAATAGTATTATTCACACTTTGTAAAGTGCATTCACAATAATTGTAAAGACCTATACCTATAGCATTTAAGTTTGACACCAAATATAGAGGCCTAAGATTTACATATAGTATTAATTTATTTTTTAAATAAATTATGTTAATATATCTATAGTAGATAATGTAGCATTTTTAAGAACTAGGAAATATTTTTTTCTGCATACAAAAATTGTATGATAATTTACGCCATGACCTCTGTATAAGTATGTACATATTTTTTTTAAATTAAATTTCATGTACATAAAAAACGAAAGTTTAAAAAAAAATTTGTAAATAAAAAACAATGAAATTTCGACGCAAAACGCATTTTTATTTATTTTAATTTTTGCATTATTAACTAATTAAATTAATTTTAGAAATACATATGTATGTGTCTTAACTGGAACACGAATAAATAATGAAATTGAGCAAAAATTATTTCGAGTGCATTGTTTCTATTAAGTATAATAACTACACTATTGAATAATAAATCGCAAATCGAAGATCGTAAATTTTATGACAATATCTAAGTAATTTCATTTTAATAAATATAGTAAGTTTAATAGAATAATTTTATAAATTCAACACATTGCATGCACATGAAATTACTATCTACATAAGTTTGTAAGTATTTACGTATCTAAGTGTGTGGATACTCCAACATAAATTTGTACAACATTCTGCGACAGTCAATTTTACACACACGCAAAAAAATCAATATACACGCAAAACTAGGAGTCAAATATAGTAAACCTGTGTTTTTAAGGATATCATTAATTCAAAAAATATATATAAAAAATCATTACAATGTAGAAAAACAATATGGCCATTAAATAAATGAGGCTAGAAAATAATTAAATCTTTTGATGCACAAGGACGAATAAGTATTGACAATATCATTTTAGAACCTTATACTTAAATATACTTAATTTTTAATTTTTTTTTTTAAATATGCTAAGAACTAATATAACCAATAATAACTTTATTAGTTTAGGATAAAAAAATTAATCAAAAGGACATTTTCAATACTTCTTCATCCAGTGTAACCAAAAATTTAAATTCCTCCTTTATTTGATACCCATATCGCTATTTTGCATTGCACTGAATTTTTAAAATAATTTTTTGAATAAATTACTTCCTATGTAAGAAAAAAATCTTGGCTTTCTCTCTGACTTACTATATTTCGCATTTAGTTTCGTGTGTGTATTGATTTTATCGTTTTTTTTAAATACATTTTTTGCTTTTTGTCGCATAGCGCAATATGTGTTAGGGTGGTTCTTCAAATATTAACATCTGAATTTTTGTACGGTGCACCCTTTTATTTTGTGCTACGTTCAAAATAAAAACATCCACGAAAATTAAAAAAGTTTAAAAAAATAAAAAAGTAAAATGAAATAATTTAAATCTTAAAAAAAAAGTTGCGAAAATGCGACAAAGTTTCGACTTGAAATCTCATAAATTTGAGATATTATTGAAACTTATTCATATAAATTCATAAACCCCCAAAATTTTAGTTGATCAAAATCAAATTTTGTAAAATTTTTGCGATAAAAAAAATAAAATTTTTCAAACCCCAAATTTTTTTATTTATTTATTGTATTTTTTCACGAATGTCTTTATTTTGTACGTGATGTTGATATTTTAACGACCACCCTAATTTGTATGTATGTATATGTATATTTTTGGATTAGTATTTTTTTTCAAATTTTGAATTATTTTCCTTAATTAATTTTGTACACTAAGATTTTTATTAATTAATTTTATCTATATATATTTGAATACTTAGTAAAATTAGCACAAGTATGTATATAAGTACCAACGTACGTACGCATGCATGCATGTTTTGTAAATATGATTGTTTTAGAGTACATTGTTGCAAGTTTCCTGTAAAATTCGTAAATACAACACGCTAAGTTCTAGTTTGAGTTTGATTTTAGATTTTATCTTAAAAATATAAGGATATAGATTTTTTTTTCAGTTTTTTTCTAGCTCATACTCATACGAGTGCAGTCACTCAATTACATACATACAAATGCTTCACAAAATATACATATATTCTTTATCTCCCTCTCTCTTCTATGTCTGTGATTACACGCTATCTAAATACATACATACGTATGTAGCTCTTTGCACTTTCGTTTCATTACTTTAAGCATTTCGAATACCCTGAAACATGTTGCTAAATATCGTTTACATTACATCTGTACAAGCGTACATTCATACGCCTTCTAACTTCCGTGTTTCCTAACTAATTTTATTGATATGATTGGCGCTAAATACAGGAAAAAATCAGGTACACCCTGGTTTTACTGCATAAGCACTTTAAGATCAAGCAGTTTTTCAAAACATCTGTAATCGTCTAAAAATATTGAAATACTTATAAACAATTGTTTTGCCAATAAAAAAAAAAAACATTTTAAGCAAGTTAAACGAGTCGTTAAAAAAATCAATTACATAGTTTTCTTTCGAACTATGAAAGAGCAGACATTACAGTTTGCACGAACTTAACTTTAAGGGAATCGAAGATTGATTTCATGTAATTAAAAAATAAGTGATGAATTCAAATAATTAATTTAAACACTTACAAGAGTTTGGTATGGATTCATATTACCATTCAATCGCGTAGTTGACTATAGGAATTCTTGAAGGGAGAGTAAGTTTAGGTGTTTTTTGCGGGGTGTCTTTCAGGTGAAAATATGTATGTAATTGGGTTCAGGGCCACAACGACTTTGCGGTAAACTGCGAGGCGAAGAAAATGCCCTTTTGTATATATTATCGCCGGATAAAGAGCAGTTGGGGATATCTATATTCTCCTCTGGTTCACTCTTGAACGATTGAGTGTCATGTAAGCTCAGCGAGCCCTGGCTAGAAAACAGGGCACGCTCAACTGGACTATCCTTCTGACAAGCCGCTGTGAGTTTGATATTCACGTGCTGAGGGTAGGAATCTTACCTGATCGCTTCTATAGCAGCCGCCTAGAGGATGATCCGGTGGAAGCATTCTCTTAGACTGCGCAGCTTTCCCGAGGATATGATGGACAAATTATGGCTCGCATTTCCTGACTAACCCTGAGAAGCTCCTTGCAGTGAAATTAGTCGCATTCGTAAGAAGCTTCATTTCGGTGTTCTCAAGAAGATACCAGACTTGGCAAGAAGCGGACTTACTCCATGACCGAGGCGACTGACTTTGGCAGAAAGTTCCTAGTAAAAATTCGCATAACCAGACCATCGACCTCCACGCCTTTGATTCTAGACGCTGAAGACAACGAGGTAACCGGCTAGCTGGTACGGAAAGAATCCTCAACTATCTTTGGACGATCCATAATTGCTCAGTGGGTAAACTTAGATGGCCATTTTTATTTGTACTGGTTGGTAGGTTGGTGTGCATAATGATCACGGAAGCTTTACCATCAACGCCGACTAAACTCCAATCTTGCTTCACTTTCTATCTGTAGATTTTATTAGTAAACTACAGGAAAGTTGTAGTGCTATGAGTGACACGCGGCTCGGAAACTATAGAATTTTGGAAGATCTTCCCGATGAATTCAGGTACCTGTTCTACACAGACCGACTACTGCACTAAGGAATAGTTTCCAAACAAGAATTCAATTAAGGCGTGAATGGGGGGAAGCATTCCGTTCTGATCGCGTACTCTTATTCAACAGCCATCTACTCTAACGGCTTAAGTTAGATCTGAAGGTGGGAAGTGGGGTATACTCGCAAGAATTCTCACTTAGCCTCAGTTATCGTTTGCCAGATATATGTAACGTTTTTCAAGCTGAACCAACAGCGATCAACAAAGCTGTAAGATGTCTGATCGATACTTCTATTGATTATTATGCAGAGATGTATTTTCTGATATTCAGATATGGAGAAAATCGAAAGCGTCCAGCCACTCCCCCGCTTTAACGAGTACTCATCTATGATCGTTTCTCCTCTACACTTTAAATGTTTGGATGAACCAGATTCTACAATTTAGAACGCGACATCAGAGCTACAAATTGGTTATGTTTCTAAATAAAAAGAAGACGGACGTGCTGGATGATAACAGCCAAGACAACCTAACCTAACGTAGTAGTGGGGAGAGTTAGTGGGGGGCATTACACAAGTCAGGGTCTGGGGATATACTTTTCATGGGTAGGATATTAAATAGAAGGGATATAAAAGTTACTCTCTCGGTGTCTCACTGGTCATAACGGATAACGCTTTTATATTCACCAATTTGGTGACCAAAGCGTCAGAGAGTTGGCTCTGCCTTGAAGACAAAGAAAATTCAGAACATATTTTTTTGATCAGATAAAGTTGAGTTAATTTTTCTTGTAAGGAGTTCGCCTACTAAGGCCTTTTACTGATTATTAGGGAAGCCGACGGTAACTTGCGAATTCAGGGATATTACCTTTGGACAATAGAAGTGAAACATTTTTTGTAGAAAAGAAAGCGCTATAAATAACCAATAAGCCCTGCATATTAATTTGATGTTAAGTGAAAATTTGATTGCCAATATTTGAAACTTTTCAAAAATATACGCCTAAATTTCTACCTCCAAAAATTTTTAACTCTATCGTTCGTGCTTTGCACACCGTTTTTCCCGCTTAAGCACCTAACAAACGCTTGACCGAGTATCCAGGCACCGAATAGACGAATAGTATGAAGAACAAACATATGCCGCAAATCAATAAAGCCTTGAGAATAGCCCATTTGTAATTGTGCCACACGATGTAGCGTATCGACTTGAGCGGATTTAGGAACCACATGAATGAGGCATCTGGGCGGCTGTAAGCAAGCAATGAAGACAGAAAAAGAGTTAAGAAAAAGGAAGAATTCAATAAATGTAAAGTAAAATAAAGTGCGTACTTTGGTTTCTCCAACGGATCCGGTTCACTGCGTCCATAGCCTGCAGGGTTCTGTTCGGCTTCTTCCTTTGTCAGCAAATGGAACTCGGCTTCCACCTTGCCAGTTAACTCCATCTCCTCATTCTGCTTCTTTACATAGAATGGCCACCAACCACGCACGCGCTTCTGCTTGAATATATTTACCGTAGGCGCATTAGAGTCTGACTTAAGCATATCTAGAGTGCAAAGCTTAGAGCTTTTGGCGCCACGCGGAAAACGATTCA